TGTTCCCTGCCCACCAACAGATGCTTTTAATTAGCACAGAATTGCAACAAAATTACTAAATAAATCCACTTTACTTCTTTGGGTTCCTTTCTCCCAGAGCTGAACACATGAACACACCCTCAATGTATTGTTTAGAGTGTTCTTTTCCAAGGGCACAACCATAATGTAGCTTTCATCTGAGCCATCTCTTTCTACAAAAAATTGCTGGCTTTGAAACCTTTCAGGAGCTTGCTGCCAGTGGGAATGTGCATTTGGCGGTGCTGAAATTTTATGAAAGTTATCCCAAACGTTCCATCAGCTGTCCTTCACGAGAAAAAGAAACTGACCATCTAAATCACCCACTGTTCCCCAAAGAACTACAGTACTGAAACAGAGAGGAGTGGATCGTCGGAAACTTTTTCTTCTTTTACCTTTCATTTTTTATCAGTCTCCCCCATGAAGTTTTAAAATTCTTGTATAAAAATTATTTGTAAGTCTGATGATGGCATCATTCTTGGTTTGGTCATTTTTTTCATGGGCTACGTGAGGTCATTCATAAGCGTTAGGAGACTGAACGAAAAGCTGTTAGTCCAAATCTTTGACACAAAGAAAGCTTTTATATCAGACAGTATGGATGGATGGATGGCCCTCTTTTCTAGGTCATGGGTGGGCCTGCTCTCTGTCTCTCTGTCTCTCTGTCTCTCTGTCTCTGTCTCTGTCTCTCTCTGTCTCTGTCTCTGTTTCTCTCTCTCTCTCTGTCTCTCTGTCTGTCTGTCTGTCTGTCTCTCTCTCTCTCTCTCTGTCTCTCTGTCTCTCTCTCTCTCTCTCTCTCTCTCTTCCTCTCTAGTGCTACTAGTTTTGCTTGGGGCTTCATGGTCATGCATTAGCAAGTCTAGGCTGGTAGGCAAAGAAGGATTTTAGAAGTTTGCTTTTCTTTTGGAAGTAAAATGTTGAAATTGAGCTGTCTTGAGAGAAACTTTCTTTTTTATAAGAAACAAAATTTAATGCTGAGGTCACAAATAATATAAATATCCAGAAGCCTCATGGCTGCGCTCATTGGAATCTCTTTGAGTCAGATCCATTATTTTGTTGTGCAGAATCATTCAGGGATTGCTTTACCCTCTGGGTAGTAGAATTACAGTTGCCTGCAAATCAGTTGAACAACAATCGTATAGAACCTCCTGCTGTCCTTAATCTTAATTTTTGGAATATTTTTCTGTAAGGGAGATTTTTGCCTCTCATTAAAAAAAGTCATTTTTGGAATGTGCATTCTCTGGAGCCAGCCAAAGCCTTGTGAAAAAAACAGGGTCCACTTCCTTGGAAATTCAGGATCTTACCTGGCCTGAGAAACTTGTCTGACATAGGGAAGGCCCCTTTGTGTGACACCCAAAGGTCTAACTAGCAGGGCCACAGATTTCAGAGGATTAAGGGGGCTCCCATCCATTCAGAGGTCCAGGAACAGGGCTGCTTCCTTGTGGCAACTCATTGTAATGCTTCATCTAATATTTCAGTGAGACCTGCACAGGACAGACATACAGGCCAATCCAAAGCGATGGTACCACCATCTAACTTCTGCTAAATTACTGCTTTACCTGTTTAAAGAGGAAGTTTGATGGATTGGCAGGCCTGGGAACCTTCATTCCCACCTCCAGGAGCCATGAGGGTGCCACTGTTATGACCACTTGCTATTTGAGGCTCATGGATAGAGGGCATTTAGTAAATGCTGGCATTTAGGCAATTGTTGGGAGTAAAATCATAGTAAAAGAAGGAAAATTTAAAAGAAAAAGATGGCATTTGCCCTTTTCTGTGAAATCTGCCACTGGCATTTGAAGGTGCTCAGGGAATTGTATTTGTGGAAATTTGGGAAAGACAAATGTTGGTGAGTGCACTAGAGAATTAAGACAAACGATAATTGAAAGAGATGACAAAAGCTAGTGCTTTCTATGGGGAAATAATCACACACTGCTGTCAGACCGACTCCAATAGGAGCATTGCTTTATGTACAATGTTTTTTAAACAGCTCAATCAAAGCATTAAGCCAGAGCACTTCTCGGGGTATCTGTCTGCTATGTGTTCCATTACATTGCCATCTGAGACTCCTCCCTGTGGACTGTTCACTGGTCCCGCTGCTGTGGTTGGCTTCCCTGTGGTCCAATACTCAGTGGGAAATAAGAAACACCAGAGTGCAAGAAAGATCTTATTTGTGGATTTGTAAGGTAAATCTATAGTTTTACTGTATTGGTTCATCATCTAGATTCATAGCGCCTGATGTGTGAAGTTACTTTTGTGTGTTATCCTGGGTTAAATGCTGGTGCTCCATGTAAGGTGTCTCTTTCATGATGCTAGATGTGCTTTTGGACTTTTAGAAGTAGGGACTATTTCCCGTGATCTGCATTTTTCCAGAATTTTTAATGGAATAATACTCAAAGTTCTGTCTCTTTCTACCTCCGTTGTACCCTATAAAGATTTCAGTCAGAACCCCTACAGTTCATTATGTTTATTGGTTGACACAGCTGTGTCATTAAGTTGGAACACAGAGCCTGGTGGAAGACATAGATGCTCACTGATGAATAACTCCTTGGTCAAACCTCACTCCCTCGTTCCAGAGAATGCTACCCAGAGACTTTCCTCTTGCTCCTCTGAGTCTTATCTCTATCCTGTTCCACTGTTGTGATACTGGGAGGCTTACTGTACTGACCAATCACAGCCTCCCTCTCCTTTGCCTTCCCTTTGAGTTTGGCCAACAGGTTGCAGGAGACTGAACAGGATGATAGGCTGGAGTCTATGTTTCTCCATATCGCTTCCTAGATCCCTAAGGACTCTCTGTTATTACCAGTCACAGGCACTGAGTTATCCCTTATGGATTTCCTCACACCCTGCCCCTGCCTTTGTAAAATTCTCTCCATTAGCCAATTGGAAGGTCCCCCCAGTTATCCTGCTGAGACTCTCATTGATACTGGCCAAGTCACCCAGATAACAAAGTTGGTTTGAACCCAGATAGCACAGTCTGTCTCCCTCGTACCCTTCTCAGGAAGCACTCTCTTCTAGGCCAGCAGCCCTCCAAATTGAGATCAGTTGGAACAGGGTCAGCAAACTACAGCTTGTGGGCCAAATCCAGTTTGTGGCCTGTTTTTGTAAATGAAGCTTTATTGGCACATAGCCACAACATTTATTTACTTACTGTCTGTGGCCGTTTTGAGCTATAACAGGAGGTGAAGCAATACAACAGAATCTGTATGGCCTGCAAAGTCTAAAATATTTGCTATTGGATCCACAATAGAACCCTGACTTAGAGGAAAGCCATGCATGTGAACTTCACCATTTTCATCAAGGGGCTCCCGGGCCAGAAGCCAGGGGCACTTGTGAATAGTCGTGTGACAATTAACAGGAGGTTTCAGACCCCAGGCCTGACAGGCTCTTACAGATCTTATATTGCCTGTGGAAGGCACTATGTTCTCCTGACATGGAAAAAAAGTGACTAGTAAGATAAAAGGCATTTGTGTTTGAATGTGTCTATAGTTTGTGACTGCAGAAGTAAATAGTGTTCCAGAAAGAATGACTCTCCCAAATGTCACCACATTTCTTTATCAAAGTTATTTTGTACATATCGGACTTACCTCCCAGTCTGCAAAGATAAATGTCCAACACCAGCACTGCCTAAACTGGGACGATGCACTGTCGCATCCACAGGGTTTGCACTCATCTCAGACCCTCACAGGGAGGATCCTTCCTCTCTCTCTGCATGTTTTCAGGTTAGTCCCTAGTCACTGAAGCCACCGCATCCAAGGCTAGTCAACCTGATTTGCACTAACATCTCTCATGGGATGCCTGTTTAGGGTTTTGTTTTTTTTTTTTTGGGGGGGGGAGGGGTGGTTGTTGACAGTCCCTGCCATAATACCTGCCTGAAAAACATGTATATGCACAGGTTTTCCCCTTGTCCCCAGAACGCTCTTTTGTTTCTGTTGCCTTAAGTAGGCACTTGAGAGCCCGTCCTGGCCTCTCTGCAGGAACTCTAGGGCCTTCCCTAACACCACACATTTATTTGCCTTGCCAACTTCTGCTCCCTCAGCCCTTTCTCAACCTGTAGGTTGAGCTGTCCCTTCCCCTTGGAATCATAGCAAGCCCCTTTGAGGTCTCAGTGGTGACAGCTATAGTAAGGAGCTCTAGCAAGGACTTCTTCCTGAATAGTGCTTCCCTTGGAAATTGTCTTTTTTTTTTTTTTTTGCAGAACCGGGGACTGAATTCAGGCCCTCGCACTTGCCAGGGAAGCGCTTATTCCACTGAGTCATCTCCCTGGCTTCCCTTGGAAATTGGGGTGGGGTCCCATTTTGCTTCTTCAAGCCCTTCATCTGCAGACCCTTGCTGTAAAAGGGAGCCCAGGGGCTCATCTCTAACCAGTTGGTTTCTGGGAATACTTCATATTCTCTGCTGAAAGATGGGTTTTCCTCATAGTACTAGAAGGCCACCCTCACTGAATGAGGTGCTCACAGCTTCAGAGTCCTTGTCCTCATATACACAGCTCAGCAGCTGGGTGGCATGGCTCTGACACATCTGCATATTCTTTCCCCATAAAGATAAGACTAGCACTATGGTACTGCACCCACCAAAGCTGGGTCCTCAGGGACAAACATACTCCTGAAGCTCAAAGCTTAGGAAATGACAGCAGACAAGAGACTTTCCCTTACAAATGGAGAGTGGAATCATGTACCATAAAGCCATAGTTAAGGGACTGATGGGGTTGAGTGGAGATCACCTTTGATGGTAGTACCAAGTTAGATAATCCCCAGCACCACTGCTATCTCCTGCTTCACCTGTATGCTGCCTTTCTCAGGTGTCATTTGTCTCCTGTGACCTGTATAGCCTTAATGACAGCAGCTCCAAGGGCACTCACTCCTGGCTGCTTCGGTACACATGTGCCTGCCTTGGTGACAGCGAAGGCGACCTTGGCAGTGTGTGATACTCTCCCCACCCTGCCCAGCTCCTCATTTCTGACCTGCCGCCTGTGTTTTCTCCTCTTGCAGGGTCCTCGGTGGCAAATACAGCTCCAGCCATGGGCAGGTCCTGCTCAGTCTCTGGATGAAGAAGCCTGGAGATTCCTGAGATATATCAGCACCACCCAGGTTGTGTTTCAGGCTCCAGTGGGTTTGGGAACAGTATAAAAGGCACTAATTGCCACTTGGAAAGAAGGGTTTGTCTGTGAGAGGTGGGGAGTTTCTGATAGGGTCCAGAGAGGGACCTGGTTTCCGAGGCATTGCTGCTCAAATTTATCCACTCCTCTGGAGTGGGATAAAATGCTTCCCTTTCCTAGGGCATTTTCTCCCTTCCAGAAGTCAAATTAACCAGAAATGTTCTAATGATTCATGCTGAAGTGTTTTAAAGATCCACTTTAGAAAATTGCTTTGGAGAACCATTTGAAGCAACAGATTCATTCCTGTGAGTAGGTGTCACAAAACAGCCATCATCTGGAGGCTTGAGCTCCGTTCTACATTTGGAGGCGTTCGCCTTCTCCCTTTTGTGCTGCAGACTCTTGGCAGCCAGGGACACGTTGGGCAGGAGAGCAGAGAAGACTTTCAGGCAGAATGATGAGAAGTTAATGAATCCAAAAGCTCCTTCTCCTCGGAGCACTTTAAATCATTACTGAGCTGAGGCGGCCTTGATTACTGACTTAACACACAGTGGCAGCTCCAGCCCGACTCACCAACTCACGGAGGAGTCAGTGCCCCGAGCAGCGAGCCAGAGAGCCCATCCATTAAGGGGAGTCTGTGGCTTTTGACACATTAATCAGGAGGTTCCACACTCAGATTGCCTGATCCTGGGGAAAAGGCAGATGGAGGAGGAGACCTAGGCCTGAGGGCCCCTTAGCCCTGACCTGAGAGGTGCCGGAAAATTAAGAACTTGGACTGCTTGGGAGCTGAGCATAGCCCCACTCAAGATACCGCCCGTGGACCTGGCCTGAACTATAGGGCCTGGATTTTAAGATTGGTCTCAGAACCCTTCTTCTCCTGCACTAGGCAGCAGTGAAGCCCATTTGCATCCATGCAGAGAGGCTATTTGTAGGTCTAGGAAGCTACTTTAGGGGCCAAAGTAAGTACCACTTCTCATATGATACAGTCAGGTGATCTTAGGGATTTTAATACTTGTCACCCAAACAGGGAATTTAAAGCTTGTGGAATTAATTGTGGGTGATGGAATGATAAATTGGTCCCTGTGCTTTTCATCTTATTTTGCTGCTGCAAGTTAATTTGGTGGATTTATACAGGCTTAATTAAATTACTGAAATTTTAATTTTATCATTTGGCTTTTCATGAAGGATGGGAAGCTATGACTTTTAAAAACTCTTTGGGACCCCAGAGGAAAATGAAAGGTGTGAAATTTGCAAACTGAATTTGAACACTGTGAGCTCCACCTTCCGAAATTAACTTACTGAATACAAGATTTCAAATTTTATTTTATACATATTTTAGGTTAATTTTATATAACTTATATGAGCCACATTTACTTAGAAGGTGATCTTGAGTCGTGTTGTGGTCATTTGAGATTCTTCTTGAACCTTTCCCATGAGCCCCAGGCTGAGAGGAGAAAAAATTCTTTTAAAAATGGAAGCATCCTCTGATGTGATGTAGTCTGATGTTGTAACCCCGGGCAATTTCCTTGGTTTCTTTGGCTTTCACTATTCTGGTCTTGAAAATGAAAAGATTGGATCAGGTTATTTCCAACGTCTCTCCCAGTTCTGTGATCTTGCATTGTGTGAAAGTATGATAGAATTACTAATAACAATGTATTTTTGAGCACCTCTCAACATGCCAGGGACATGCCTGTGCTAGACCTTGGGGATGTAGCCTCTGCCCTTGAAAAACTAGCAAATGAGTTGTGAAGGCAGAGAAATGATGCATAATTATTATTCAGCTTGGTGAGTGCAGTAATAGAGATTTGGTTGTGAAAGCCCAATGGGAGAAAGATTTCCTTTACTCCCTTTACTTCCTGTGTAGGACCTTTGGCTGGAGTTAGGGGCCTGACTAATACAAGGGCTGATAAATAAGAGAAAAATATGAGTTTTATTACATTTACATGTACATAGGATCTTCAGCAAGAAAAAGAGATCCAAAGAAATGACTAAGCCATGATGTTTTTTAATAGTTTTTAGACAAAGAACAATAAACTTGTGAAGAAATGACAGAAAAAATGGATCTCTAGACTAGGGCAACAAATTGTAGGGCTAATGCCAAGAACTAGGGAGGTGGGGTAAAAGCTAGTCAAAGACCAGTATTGCTTTTAACGAGTTCATTTATTCAGTTTCATGGCAGCTTCAATGACCACTGTCTGGTGATTAAGATTATTTTCCAGCCATGGTATGGGAGGGACATCCCTCTCCAAAGAATCTTTGTGGCTTGCTGCATGTAGGACAAGACAGGCCAGCTGTCCCTTTGTGAAGTTTCAGTTCCTCAAGTGATTTCAACTTGAAATAATCAATTTCAAGAATCAATCCCAGTTTGACGTACTTGGAGATGGCCAATCTCAAACTTCTGGCGAGCTCACTAAAAGGAGTCTTCTTGTACTGCAGAAAGGTGAGGGAACAGTCCAGACCTCACAAAGGTTTTGTAATCAGGAACCATTTTATCCAGGTGAAATCCTGTGCTTGAAGGCACTTGCAGGGCCGTAGGAGGCTGGCGAGTGGGAGCACTCACAGATGACATGAGGTGGTTCTTTATCAGAGTCTTTTGCTAACCAACTGCGTGGCACCCTCCCCCTTCTCTGTGGAATGCAGAGCTTTCTGGCTGCTTTTGTGGCTTATGCCCCATTTAGAACTCATTTTGACAATGGAAGCCTGCAAAACTGGCAGAATATGAGAGTCACTGTTACTTAAAATTTTCACAGTTAACAGTAGTGAGTCATAATGGACTAGGAAAAAAACCTTTAAAAGAACTAAAGTGAATTCCACCCCCATCCCCCTTTTTAAAAAAAAAAAAA